CAGAGCCAAGCACCCTCAGCTCCCCCATCCTGGTGCTCTCCCCCCTCCCTCAGAGCCATGAATCCACAGCGCTCCCCCCAATCAAATCCCCGTCCTGCAGAGTCAGGCACCGGATGGGTCAGTTAATCTTACTTTTAAAGTGGCTGCTCCTGCTGCTGGGGGCCCCCGGGGACACCTGCCCGCCCCGCCCCTTCTTCACTACGCCTCTGCCATGTGCTCATGCTGACAGGTTTCTGGCGAAAGAACGTTACTTACCTCGTAACTGTTGTTCTTCGAGACGTGTTGCTCACGTCCATTCCATGGAGGTGTGTGAGTGCAGCGTGCACCTGTTGTCGGAAATCTTCCCCCTAGAAGAACCCATCGGGCCAGCAGGGGAGCCCTCTGGATGGTGCTGTTATACCGGCCAGGATATACCCCAGCTGCCCTCCGCCCCCTTGGCTCCTTCTCACCGGATCACTCCGAAGAAGGGGAGGTGGGTGGGATGTGGAATGGACGTGAGCAGCACATCTCGAAGAACAACAGTTCTTGGTGACTCCAAATCAGAAACCCCAGGCGGCGGGGTCGGAGTTCTACCCTTCCCCTGAATGGAACGGCCCTACCCAAGGCAGCATCCTCCCTTGTCTGATGTGCACGTAGTGATCGGCAAAGGTGTGAACAAAGGACCATGTGGCAGCCCTGCAGATATCTAGGATCAGGACCTGAGCCACAAATCCAGCACCCTGGATCCCTGCAGCCAGGAGCTGCGGCGTAACACCAACCCCGTGGCCATGGCACGTGCAGCCTCATCGGCTCTAAACTCGGGCCGAGAATCCCTGGGGAGCACTTTGGGGAACTTGTCCATGGAGGCTCATATCGGGTCAGGAGAACCTGCTGTTTCGCTGTTCCAGATGCGTCGGCCTTCTTTCCTAACAGGTCCATCTTTTTGGCGCCTCTGTTCTTAGGGGTGGTGCCCCGCCAGCCCTGCCTCATCCTCTGGTTCACCTGTCTGGTAAAAAAATTCAGAAAATACCAGAGCTAAAATGTCTTGGATTTTCCGATTTTTTTCCCGGCCAGGAGGCGAAAACACCAGGTGCTTATTTGGTTCTGCAGGGGAGCTGTCTCCCCTGGAGCAGGGAGACAAAATGGAGGACGGCTGCCAGCAGCCTGTTAAGGCCAAAAATACCTCAAAAGCATTTCTTAAAGGGGTCACACTATTTTTTTTCTCAACAACTTTGGTCTCCTCCTTTTTTTTTTCTAAACAGAATAGTATAACGGTGTCATTCCAGGGGGCTCCTCTGCAGGCCCGACGGGTGCTGCTAGGGGAAACATTTCTGACAACACGTGCACACTGCACGCACACACCTACATGGAATGGGCGTGAGCAATCGCTCAAAGGAGAATGGGACACTTAGCACAGGGGAACAAATGTATAGAAACACATAGGCCAGTTCGGGCCAGGCAGCTGCTAGAAGTGTGCACACAACACAATGTTATGGGCATTCGGTGCATACGAGCAATATTAACGTATCTAATGTGAATCATACCCATTGACCATGCAATATGTGACCTTAGCCCAGCATACGGCAGTGACCATGTCAGAAATAGATTTAACCCCCCGCAAACATTCAGCTGTTTCTAGTGACCCAGATCCAAGGACCCCAGCTCCACTATAGAGCCGAGACACCATCGAGAGCTGTCCCCCCTCTTTCCTGTATCAGCTTTAACAGCAGAGACACATTCTGCGTGGGGCTTCTGTGATGGGAACAAACGCGTCCCCTGCGGATTTGCATTCTGTTCCCCCAGCCTGGGAACTTACCCATTGAGCCTTGAGTGCTCCCTGGAGGCAGAGGGGGGACAAGGACCACGATGAGAAACACTTGAGAGAGAGAAAAATAAATGTGTTTGTAAATTGTATCCAAACAGAAACGAGCAACACAGAGACAGAGACAGAGACAGAGACATCTCTTGGCCCTTGTACAGGGACCAAATTTTGCTGGATGACTCCATTGTGATTCTAGTGTAAATTCAATGAAGTCCGTTCTTCCATTAATAACTGTTTATACCATAGTAAATGCAGGAACCCCGGCTTTGTGCCACTCCCGCAAGCTGGCTTACCCCACTATCTTGAAATTCCTCTTGTGCACTGGCTCCATGTTACGCCCCCCCAACGCCAACCCTGGGCACAGCAGCTTCCCAGAGATGAGTGGTAGGGCCGAGATACTTCTATGCTCTGGCTATTGCCAGCTGCTGAATGGTCCCTTGGACCAGGGATGCTTCAGGAGGAATCAGAGAAGGCTTTAGGCTGCTTGCAGGCACCAGACTGATCTGCAGTTATCCCCTGGGATTCAGTGGTTGTGAACGTGGCTGGAAGCATCTTCGACCCATCCAGGCTCTGGTCTCACGGTGAGTCCCTCTGAGCCAGCCCCAGGAATCTGATGGTTAAATCTAAGGGTGTTTCAGCAAGCCTGGATGAAGTCTCCATTAGTGCAACTTGAGCAGGGGAGGGAGCAGAGGAAATTGTCTGTCACACCAATGTAGGTGTAAATTCGAGCTCTAGGAGACTTACCTGGGCTTGCTCTGAGCAGCTGGCGTGTGAGAAAGAGAAGTGTGGCCATGTTTGGGCAAGTAACAGGGGAGGCTCCCTGTCCCGACCACATCCCTGTCCAAGGCCACTGGTAGGCACTCAGGGCAGCTAGCCCCCTCCCCCTCTGTTCGGACACTTCTCTGTGTAGCACGCAGCTAGACGAGCGCTAGCCCAGCTGTGTCTTCCCCCGCTGGAGCACACACCTTCCTGCTCTCGTGCAGATGGACACATGGACCCCTCTGGGCTCTCCGGGCCCCACCCCTGAGTCCAGCCCATGGACTTTGTTCCACTCACCCAATGGACGCACGTCCCCGCGGGGTCCCATGGTGGCTCCGACACTCTCAGGAGCAGTTGAGCTCTGAGGGCTCTGAGCTTTGCAGCTTCCTTATTTTGGAGAAATTAGGCAGGAAGCGAAAGTGACTCAAGCCCTTGTTTCAGATCATATCAACCTAGAGTGCCGACACAGCAAAACACTGTCCAGTCTGCCCTGCTCTCCCTCCTGCTGCCTCCCTTATCTTCCAGCCCCATACTCCGTTACTTTGCAGTGAGACCCAATGGGGAAAACCGAGCACAGTGCAGATGGCCCAGCCTCATTTCACTGAATCAGAAATGGAGAGCTGCAGGGGACCTAAGGAGCTCAAACAATCCACCTCCAGGTGCTGAGGCAGGACCAAGCGGACCTAGAACATCCCTGGCAGGTGTGTGCCCTACCTGTTCTTAAAGCCTGCACTGACAGGGACTCCACAACCCCAAAAGAAACCTTTTCTGCAGTTCTGCTACTGAGCCAGTGAGTCTCCATACCTCCCCGACCAGCCTTGCAACTTCGGGTATGTCTACACTACAAAGTTCATTCGAACTAACAGACGTTAGTTCGAATTAACTTTGATAGGCGCTACACACATGAACTTAATTCGAACTAGCGGAGCGCTTAATTCAAACTAGGTAAACCTCATTCTATGAGGACTAACGCCTAGTTCGAATTAACTAGTTCGAATTAAGGGCTGTGTAGCTACTTAATTCGAACTAGTGGGAGGCTAGCCCTCCCCAGCTTTCCCTGGTGGCAACTCTGGGCACCACCAGGGAAACTCTTCTGCCCCCCTCCCGGCCCCGGAGCCCTTAAAGGGGCACCGTCTGGCTACGGTGCCCATGTCAGGTGCAAGCCTGCCAGCCCCTGGCCAGCAGACCCTGTACCTGGCACGGCACGAGCCAGCCACCCGCTGCCACCCAGCCCTCCGCCTCTTCCCC